GACACAACACTCTGCTCAGCCTGGCCCTTCTCCAGGATCTCAGGCCTTCCTGAGAACACTCAGTGATTGAAGAGGAAAAAAGTGAAGGATTATAAAATGCAAAAGGCAAGGAAATGCAGTCAGGCTTCCCAGTAAGGCTTCCACCAGACTCTTCCAAGACAGAATCATTACAGATAACAATTAATCCTCATTCAGCACATCCATTTATCCCACAAAAAAAGTATAAATAAATAAACACAAAGAATTTTAAGCACAAATGGCGAAGCTTTAAATCATTTCTGGGTAAGTATTAGGAGAAATAATTAGTAGGAAAGAAACTGTTTTCCACTTAGGATGCCACTACCACTTAACACAATGAACTCCAGCAGGCCATATGCCACCGTTTCGTCGTCTGCGATTATTTCGCTACCTCGAAGACAAGCAGCACTAATAAAATCAGTTAATTAGGGGAGGATGCATTGAGCATGTACAAGATTCTCAACTGCTCAGATGAAAACTCTACTAAACTGGAAAAGAGGGACCAGGTTGTTGACACAGGAGACTCCTGAACTCTCCTCCTCCCATGGAAGTGCCAAATGGACAGCAACACCCACAGCAATTCTCTCTGAGAGAAATCCAGGAACTAAGTGAATGACTTCTCTCATACACAGGGTAAATGTGGAAGCACCACATCAGAATGGGTACAAAAGGCTGAGACACACTCACCATAAACTCTGCCCCTGGCACAGTTCAATACAATCAGAAGGGAACCCCAACTCCCAGCTCCTCCGTGAGGAATGAAAGGTTTGGATCACATCTAGCACCCCAACTTTGAAAGCCTCCACCGAGCTGAGAAAGCCAGTGGAGCCTGCATCCAAGAGTCCCACAGGACTACAGCAAGGAAGTAGTTCTTAACAGGCAGACAAGCACTCACCATAACCATTCCCTCAGGGTTCAACATAGAGGAAGCAGGTAGAAAGACACATCTCCCAGTCCTTCCCTGGAAGGAATTTGACTGCATACTTTATAAACTGCTGCTTAAGGGTCCACTTTCTCATTGGCATGCACCTAGGAGCTGACTGTGATCTTCCCTGGACCCCAAGGGAGCCAGTGGGCAATCCCCCACCCCTTCTTGGTTTGGTTCATTCCAACAATAGATCCAGGTCACCAGCATCTCTCTGGAAGCAGCTTGTACACACATCTGGCACCCCAGGTTTTACAGCTGTCACCTAAGGGACAGCACCCCTGAATGCCTAGCTCTGATAGCCAATGTGGCTTGCCTTCATTGAGTCCCGCAGGAGTGTATTGGATAAAGAGGTAATTGTTAATGGATGCACACAGAAGCCCTGGCTGCAACTATCCCTCTGGGGTTCAGCACATACTGTCCCAGCTTATGCTTGAGCATAGGGTTTCTAATCAGCCTGCATCTAGGTGATAACTGAGATCTTCCCCTACAGGACACTGATGGGTCTTGGCACACCCTCAACTACTGGGTACCACTAAGAACAAAGACAACAACTTGGGCAATCACTGAAGTTTGAGAAGCAACCAGGAACTTGGGCTAGGCTGACCAACAAGGTTCATCTAGAGGAGACCAGTCTGTCAAGACTGGGAGAGGTGTCTGTTTCATGTATTGTACAGAAACCAACACAGAGAGTGAAAGAAAATGAAAAAAAAAAAAAAAAAAAAAAAACCAGGAGAATAGGTTCCAAAAAAAAGAACAAGACAAATTTCCAAAAATCAGTCTTAATGGAGGTAAGTGATTTATCCAATACAGAGTTCAGAATAACAGTCATAAAGATCCTCTCCAAGGTTGGGAAAGCAGTGTGTGAACAAAGTGATAATTTTAACAAAAAAAAGGTAGAAAATATAAACAACTACCAACCAGAAATCATAGAGCTCAAGAATATAATACATGAAATGAAAATTCAAAAAAAAAAAAAAAAAGATTCAATAGCAGACTAGATCAAATGGAAGAAAGGATCAGCAAACTTGAAGATAAGGTAGTGGAATTCATCCACACAGGGGAGCCAAAAGAAAAAAGGGTGTTAACTCCATCCCTGAACAGTGATGTTGTAGAGAAGTTCCACTATGAGTCTAGGCTTCAGGCAATGTTACCTCCATCACTGTAAACTGTTCTAAGAGAAAGTCTAGAAAAGTTCCTAGAAATTTTCAATAAATTGTTTACAATACCAAGATTTTGTCCTTTGTAGCCTCATTTGTCCAGACCAAGTACAATTTGCATTCTACATATGTACATACAATATACTCTATATATGGAAATCCATTCACATACGCACATGAAAGTCAACTTTTACTGAGAACTTAGTATATTCAGAGACTGTTAAAGAAGATTCATTACATATTATCTAATTTAATCATTACAACAAGCTGATGAGATGGGTACTATGATGCTTCATTTCAGAAGTTAAAACTCTATGACATAAGAAGTGAAGTAACTTGCCCAGGATGCCTCATAGCAACAGGGTCAGGATTTGAACCCAGCTCTAAAACATAGATTTTCAATGACTGTGACACTAGAATTGTTCTCCCCTAAAATATATCTCATGCAATGTAAAGAACCTCTTGGTGACATACATTTGCCTACTTTAAGGATATGGATAAACAAGGGTCATTACCAACGGATGCTTAGAAAACACAAATACATTTCCAAATAGCAATAAAAATGGCAGTTAGGTGACCCTTGCCAACTTGGCGGTTAGCCTAGTGTTCACCCAACTTACCTGATTATGTATATCTTATCAGCATTGACTGTGCAGACATATAGCCCCAACACAGAAAATAGTATGCATGTATTATTATCAGTCCACAGAATTAAGATTTAATTCATTCCTAAATTTTAGGATGAAAATATAGCATGTGGGTAACATGAATCCCATTTAGAAGGCTCTTAGTTTAAGTTATTCATGTGCAATAATTAAGTCCCATAACCTTCAACAATTTGTCATCTGCAGAGGCACACATTAGCCCACTGCAGACTCCAAGCTGCTATGCTGAGGGAGGTGCTGGGCTAGGGAAGGAGCCCTGCTTCTGACCTGCAACTGCTGCTCCTGGAGGCTTGGGGGCACTTTACTTGTGGCCTTGAGTGCAGTGACTGGTGAAAAAGTATGAAAACTTTATGCCTTTGTCAAAATGAATCTGCCTTCCAAAAAGTAAAATACCCTCCAATATTAGAGGTTGTTTTTTTTTTTTTTTTAACTAGGAGGCTTAAGAAAATGAAGTTCCTTAATCAGAAAACACATATATATACAAATCAATACATGTCAGTACATACATGTATATCAACATATATGCAAATATACATGTATGTCTGGACATACAGGAACGTATATATGTATATGTGTGTATATACGTGTGTATACATGTATATACATTCATATATACATGATAAAGTTCCTTAGCCAGAAAACATGTACATTTTTCATATATATATGAATTATAATAGTGCTATCTAGGATGTGTGACTTCCTTTTGAAGGTCCTAAAATACAACTTCCATTCTTACCACAAATACTTCTTGAATACTTGATATGTTCCAAGCCATTTGGTAGGTCTTGGAGATAATGGTGAGGAGAACAGATATCACCTAGTCCCCATGGTACCCACCCTTCACACTTATCAATCAGCTACCATACAGCTCGGTATAGCACACAGGAGTCAGACACGGCTCAACAATGAACTAGGATTGTGACCTATCTCATCCACGTTCTTCAGGAATAAGAAACATCTTTAATTTCCCAAGAGAGTTTTAATTTAACCCTGACTGAAAGAAACAAATGGAGATCCTCTCTGTTTGTGGCATATGGCCTTAAGATTCTGTTTACAAAAAGCATATACCTTTACCTCGATTAGTGCATTTAATCTTATCCACCATCAAATTTAAACCAGTCTGTAATTAGAATTTATCAGGGGGTGCCTGGGTGGCTCAGTTGGTTAATCGTCTGACTTCCACTCAGGTCATGATCCCAGAGTCCTGGGATCAAGCCCAGCGTCGGGCTCCCTGCTCAGCAGGGAGTCTGCTTCTCCCTCTCTCTCTGCCCCTCCTCCTGCTTCTGCTCTCACTCTTGCTCTCTCTCTCAAATAAATAAATAAAATCTTAAAAAAAAAAAAAAAGAATGTATCAGGAAGTAGAAACTCTTAAAAATAGCGTCATTTCATCACTAGAGTCATACAATAATAGAGAAAGACAGCAAAAGTATATGTGTTCAATAAAACACAAAACAACATCAATTTCTACTAAAATCATGTGATTTGTTGCATGGAGCACTGGGTGTTATATGCAAACAATGAATCATGGAACAGTACATCAAAAACTAATGATGTACTGTATGGTGACTAACATAACATAATAAAAAAAAATTTGTGATTTGTAATCACCAAAAGAAGTATCTATTGAACAGTTTAGCCTCAAGCCTTGCATGGACTTATATAAAACATCCACCTTTGTTCACACACAGATCCCACATGATTGGTGTTAAGAGTCTATTCAGTCTTCTAATAAACAGGAGCCACCCGGAGGTTTCTCCAAAAGTTAGTACAAATATTCGAATGCTCTCCGTGACACTGGCATTTTAAAGACGTCAACACATTGGTTTTATTTCCTGCATGCCGCATTTGTTTGAAGTGTTCCCACAGAGCTGGCTGCTTGTTCTTCCTGATGGCTGCCTGATGGTTCCACCTACTTGGAGAAATGGCACAGCAAGAAGAGGCACCAATGGAAGGAGTGCCACAGTCCAAAGCAGCTAGCTCAAGAGCTTGCCACCAAGGAACAGTCCTTCCCTCCTTGAGGCAAAGCTCTTCACCACCAGGAACAGAGCCAAATAGCATCACCCAGCCCAGGGTTGAGTGACTCAGGATCTCAGGAAAGCCAGTCACGTCAGAATAAGGCTCAGGACAAAAATGGGCAGGAAAATCAACCCATGGAGACAGACAACAAATTGTAAGGCACATTCTCAACTTCACATCGAGAAAAGACATCTGAATATCTGGGTGAAGACCCACCTTCAAGTGAAGAATTTCCCAAGACAGTCCACTCAAGAGGCAACTCCAGATGGGTCAGAGCCAGCACGAGCTCCTCGTCCAACGCAGGCAGGGCTCCCACCGTCAGGGCAAATGGAGTCAGCAAGGTCTGATGACTATCAGTGGTGAGGCGATCAGCTTGAGTGACCAGCAAACGAGCCAGCCGGCAAGCCATGTTGTCCACGTAGGTCACTGAGCCGGAGGCCATGGTCACTGGGGAGTAACCTTCTGAGCAGAGGCACACAGATACCGTCACCGTCTCCTGAAGTCCATGGCCTGGACAACAAGACAGTAAACAGTTCACCTACAGTCTACAGGAGATGCTCACCCAGTGTCCAAGTCAGGGGTCACCAGTCTCGCTGCACTGAGAACGGAGACCACACGCTTCCAGAGAGCAAAGCAGAAGAGAAAGGCAGCCAGCTATCTTTAAATGCTGCCATGTTTGTGGGGCCAAATTAAAGCTGATTCCATCTTCTTTCAATGACTCCTGATTTTAAAAGTAACTTTTAGGAGCTCTGAACACTTCAATGTCTATTCTCTTATCATCATCAAACACCGTTATTTGGCGGTGTTTGTACTTCTACCCCAACCCCTGAATTCAAGTTCATCCTCTAAAGGCCTTTGCCCTTTCCTCCTCGGCCACTTCCTCCTGAGTCCTATATTTTTATGTATTTTTTTTAGATGATAGTTTCATAAAGTAGCTCCAAAGAGTTCCTTTGAATGTGAGTTAGGGTGGGTGAAGAGAACTCAGCAGAAATACTTAACATATGTTGTTCATTGCCCCCACTCTCGCCACTTCTGAGAATGACTTTTGTGTCTTGGAGGTGTTAATATTTCCGTTGTGGGTGGTTATCTAATCCTACTACCTGTCCTTCCTACTTATACTCTTCTTTCACTTCGCTAGAGTGAGTGAACTACTACCCAGGTACATTTTTATGCTGTACTTGGCAGAATACCCAGGAATTAGTATCACCAAACTGCTGTGATTATTGTAATCACAGCCAGACAGAGGAAGTGTTAACATTCAGCCACCACTCAGTCAGCTGAGTGTCTGCCTTTGGCTCAGGTCATGATCCCAGGGTCCTGGGATCAAGTCCCGCATCGGGCTCCCTGCGGGGAGCCTGCTTCCCCCTCTGCCTCCCTCTCTCTTTCTCTGTCTCTCATGAATGGATAAATAAAATCTTAAAAAAAAAAAACAAAAACATTCAGCTACCACTGGCCCCCAAGCAAATGGCTAATAGGAGCCTTAATAGGAACAAGAGCATCCCAGCTCACTAAGTGATAACTACTGTCATGCTCACATCACCTCTTCAAAAATGACCCAGTGGTGCAAGCACATAATGCAGCCGTCCGTCCCCAGGCTACACTTCCAGGACAGACTACAGAAATCTGCTCTACACACTTCCGAAAGGTTACCCTGGCAAAGCTCTAACAGGAGACATTTAAGGTTCAGAAACAGGGACTGTCACCTGTCTGTACGGAATCTGTTAAAAACAAAGGTGAGGGGGTGCCTGGGTGGCTTAGTCTGTTTAGGTTGTGATTCTGGGGTCCTGGGATCGAGCCCCACATCAGGGTCCCTGCTCAGTGCGGAGTCTGCTTCTCCCTCTCCCACTCCCCCTGCTTGTGCTCTCTCTCTCAAATAAATAAATTAAATCTTAAAAAAAAAAAAAAAAAGGTGAGAACCCTCACTTTGAAGTAGTCCACAATATCATCAAACAGATCTTCTTTAACACACAAGGAGTAGGAAAGAGGCTCACCCCTTACAGCCAAGTAAAGAAAATGACAAAATTTTAAAATGAGGACTGGCACTTCAGTTATTATTTTCATTCTTCCTCCATAAGAGGCTTCATAAAAGAAAACCAAGCAAAGGAGGAGAAGCAAAAGGCAGTAAAGACATAAACGGAAATGCCAAAGCCAAAAGGCAGAGGCAAAAGAGACAGAGCCGAAGTGACTCTGTGCTATTAATGAGGTTTGACTATTTTTTTTCTTAAAAGGATGGCAGTTATTAGGCCAGAAAGAGAAGTGATTAAAATTGCTCAGTTTCTAAATGTTACTACCTGGGTCTGGTTTTCCACTATCGCTCTCAAATACTTGTTTAAAGTTGTTCAACTTCAATTTAGAATTTCAACATAGATGTAATTCAGAAAAATGCTCTTTTTTGTTTCCAAATTACTCGGAATGCCTTGGTTTTCATTGCACATTATACTCACTACTCTTTATGGGCTGCATTATATTCTGTAAATTCATGTATGACCATGCATTGGATGTATGCCTGGATTACCAATAAAAATACACATACATCTATAGGCATAGCAAAAGAATGGCTGGTTAATATTTATTACTTGGCTACTTCTTGTATTCAGAAGGAAAGGCTGGGGTGCCTGGGTGGCTCAGTTGGTTAAGTGTCTGCCTTCGGCTCAGGTCATGATCCCAGGGTCCTGGGATCGAGTCCCATGTAGGACTCCCTGCTCAATGGGGAGCCTGCTTCTCCCTCTCCCTCTGTCTGCGGCTCTCCCTGCTTGTGCACACACGCTCTTTCTGTCAAATAAATAAATAAAATCTTAAAAAAAAAAAAAAGGAAAGGTTAATGATAATCATGGCCAACTAAATCTGTTAACCTTTATAGAAAGCATTACATCAATTACAGCAGCATGTTAAAAAAAAATGCGCATAGTCTCAGAAATGGGACAACAGATTGATCTGATGAGCAAGTCCAGGGTTGAAAAACCTTTGTACTTCTCTGCAATTCTCACTATGTCTGTGTTGTTTGCATGTTTACTGTCTACCTTCTCTCTGCATGGAACAGATATACTGCAGAAGCACTTAGAAATATCTTTCCTCTAAAAACGAGGCCAATCCTACCCTTAAAAATACTGAAGGTTCCCTACATGATGCAATATAGAGGGTCTCAAAGCCCCACGATTAAGGAAAACTAATCCATCCACAAACTAGAACAACAAAACCCTCCCCTCCTACAAGTAATAACATCTTCATTACACCTTTGGGCTACAGCTTCATGTCTCAGATACATAACCCACAGCCCAATGAAACTACGCAACTGTATCTGAGAACTATTAGCTCTTAAGAAAAATTAACATGAAATATTAATGAGTCATCTGTCACCATGGTAATTGAAGAAGACATGTAGGAGAATGACAAGTTTCTGAACATGAACATTTTGGTGGTGGGAAGAGAAAGTTCTGGGGCCTAAGATCTAGTAAGGAAGAATCTGGATACACAGAGTGCCAAGGAAGGAACCCCAGCCACCAAAAGGAGCAAGCAGGAGAGCGGCGAACAATGGGGCTGCCAGACTGCAGGGGAAGGAGGGAGGGAGAATGAAAACCTGTTGCCAATGTCTCAGTTCTGCCTGAGCCATCCCTGGCCGTAGGCCCTGGAAAAACAGGAGGTGATACTAAGACAGAGTGACCCCTCTACTGGACTACACACAAAGCATAGCCAACTTGGAAAGTTGGGTGCAATCAACAGGATGGACCTGCCCAGTCTAAGGCAAGGCTGACACCACTGGGAGAACCTCAGAAGCAAGATAACCCAGTGTGAGTGTTCTCATGGGCTCTGTCCCTTCCCTGCTCCGCAACCCCTCTCCACCTCTCTCTCCACCCATCCCACTTTGGAGCACTGTTTACTTTCTCCTCCTGGTCCTCTTCCCAGCCTATGTCCCTGGAGGAAAGATGCTTCCAGACAGATTTGCCAGTTGCAGAGTAAAGACTACACCTCACCTGGAATGCTGGATTGGAGAATATTATCCTCAGCGCGTTCAGCAATCACGATGTGTCTCTGATGAGATCCATTGTAAATAAAGTAAAATTCGGCATCTTTAGGAAGATAAACATTTTTGCCAAACTTTGCATAGATGGTCATCTGCCCCTAAAAAGAGTAAGTTAAGGCATCATCACACTTTCTTGTTCTGATTCTAAAAAACCACAATAAAAAGGGCTGGGGTCCAAAATAGTGTTGTTTGTTATGTTGATTTCATGTGGTTGACTCTCAAATATCACAAATCCTCCTTTCCAACAGCAAACACTTGGGACGACAGAGAGGTGCTTTCTGACATTTGAAAGTATGGGTGTCAGAGCTGGTTTGTTCTGTTTTTAAAGCTGAGTAAGTCCAGAGGATAGGGAAGAATTTTTAAGTTTACTAGCTGTATAAATGTGATTGAACTTTGTTGTCTTTTATTTCCTTTGAATTCCTACCTGATGAACATCACTGATTCCCTATTAATTTTTTTCTGTACCTGACATACCACCATACTACAAAGGTTCAAAACGATTATCTTTAGTTATTGCCTTACCCTGTACTGGATCCCGGTAGGTTGTAAGGACTTTAAATATTCACAAACTATGCCAAATACATAGCACCACATGCTCCCACACTTGTTGTGCCATTTCCAACTGCTATTTGTCTTCTGAGGGAATTCCAAGTCCTCTTTTTCATCCGGCCTGGCCTCACACTTTCTCTTGAGAGCTTCTAGTCGGCACAAACCCTAAGTGCCCTCGTTCCGAGAGGAGCTGCCCCTGGGTCACAGAGGAAGGTGAGGTATGTCAAGGAAGCAAGTAGCAGGTGAGGGCTCTCCAGTACATTTTCATCCGGAGGCTGTGTGGAAGGGCTAAATCTACATTTCTACAACCAAGGGAGAAGCACCAGTAGACAGGCCTGCCAGACCCTCCTGGGACACTGGAAAACTAAAGGCTTCAGACACTCCCTCCAATCAAAAACAAAAAGCAATACAGGAGAGTCCTCCAGGGAGATGGTACATTCCACCCAGCCTGTGGGAGTGGCAGGGAAATGGAAACTAGGAGGTGGAAAGGGTCGCCCACTTTGGAAGGCCTCCAGAGCTGGGCCCACTGCGGAGAAGCATCTGGGCTTTTGTGTGCTTGCCCAACAAAAACAAACCCTCTCTTGGCAAGTCCCTCCCCCTGTGATAGGGGAGAAAAGGAAACAAAGGAAATTCTACACAGCCTCCTTAACATCTGTTTGCCTTTGATGGCTATCATCAACACTATATTCTGTAGGATATCAAGAAGTAGGCCAATCAGTATCAGAAACAAAATCACTGCAGAACTCCTTTCTCCAATAATCACATGGATATTTCATCTAAACTTTAAAAATAAAAAGGCTGTTTTCCTAGTGGTTTGAAATCTATCACCCACAAAGCATTACCTTAAATTATGAATTGGTATAAATACAAATTGTGGTTTCCTGGAAAAAAAATCACTAGTTTACACAATTTTGGATTGTCCTTTCTCTGCATGTGAGCACATGCAAACATGCAGGAATGTCATCAATAGAAAGTAGCATGCCAAGAATAATCCACCATACGATACCTTCCAAAAAAGTTCAGGAAGAGGATCTGAAAGGCAAAAAAAAAAAACAAAAAACCAGTAACAAATGTCTGACATGACAGAGAGGAAACTTAGATGAAATTCCATTTCCTAAAAAAGGAAGAACAGCCTGCGTTAGTCATGTTCCTGGTGGCTAAAGGGACTGTTAATTGTCCACAAACAGAATCTGACCTGACTTGTGATTTTTTTTAAAGAAAACAAACTGTATCAACAGATCAAAGCTTTTCGCGAATCAGAAGAATATGTAATCTGTATCTATTCAAAACAACCCTCACATTCGTATTTTCTTTGGTTGGGTGAACAAGGACCACAACTTATGAAGGAGCTTAAATGCAAGACTTTCCAAAGCAATACAACCCCAAAGAGAACAGTTTTACAATTTAGGTGTGCCTTCCTTTTGAGCCCACACCATGCTCTACATTGATAAAAAGAAGATAAACAAAAACAGGTCAGAAATAAGACCTATCCATTAAAGAGAGATGGCCACAGTCTTAGCGCTAAGAACACTAGTCAGCAATAAAAAGGGGTCTTCTTATTTGCTAATCGCAGAGATCAGAAAGACACAGAAGGCATTATGAGAGGAGGAGGGATGGGGGTGATGCAGAAATTAAGAGAGAAACTCAGAAAGAATGGGATGGGGGTGGGCAGGAGAGTATGACAGAAAAAGAAAATATGAATATGAAAGAACAGGAACGTTTTCATTCCAGAAAGCGAAAGCTCCAAGGAGATTCAGACTAAGCCACACACATGAGGAGAAATGGGTTTCTGAAAATGTTCCAAAAAACCAGTACAGTGTAAGTAACCAGCCACAGGTGACAATTTGGGGGGTAGACTGGGGTCTTTCTAATCACTCTGGCCCCTGAAAATCTGCTCTTTTTCGAAAAGGGCCACTAATTTTGTTAATGGCAAAGATAAATACCAACCTACAGAATTCTGGTGTACTTCTACCTGTTCCCCACCTGGAATCAATTTCACACTTTTAGGCAATTAAAACTATAAACTTTCCTAAGTGAATTTACTGCCATCAATATCAGACTCACTCTCCTTCTATGCAGAAATACTAAACATCATCTTTCTGTCAATTCACTATATCCCACATTTAAAAAAACACACATTCAACCAGCAGTGTAAGAGGGTTCCCCTTTCTCCGCATACTTGCCAACATTTGTTGTTTCCTGACTTGTTAATTTTAGCCATTCTGACCGGTGTGAGGTGGTATCTCATTGTGGTTTTGATTTGGATTTCCTTGATGCCAAGTAAATGGTGAGCATTTTAGATATAGATATAGAGCATGAGTCTATTTGTAAGCTGGTACAGCCACTCTAGAAAACAGTATGGCGGTTCCTCAAAAAGTTAAAAATAGAGCTACCCTACAACCCTCAATTGCACTACTGGGTATTTATCCAAAGGATACAATCATTGTGATCCAAAGGGGCAATGCACCCTAATGTTTTGTTTTGTTTTTTTATTTGACAGAGAGAGAGAGCATGAGGTGGGGAGGGTCAGAGGGAGAAGCAGACTCCCCACCTAGCAGGGAGCCCAATGTGGGGCTCGATCCTGGGACTCCAGGATCATGACCTGAGCTGAAGGCAGTTGCTTAACCAACTGAGCTACCCAGGTGCCCCAACTCCAATGTTTATAGCAGCAATGTCAACAATAGCCTAAGTATGGAAAGAGTCCAGATGCCCACTGACAGATGAATGGATAAATTTGTATTTATCCATGGATAAATTCAATGGATAAATTCACCTGGGTAGCTCAGTTGGTTAAGCGACTGCCTTCAGCTCATGTCATGATCCTGAAGTCCCAGGATCGAGTCCCACGCTGGGCACCCTGCTAGGTGGGGATAAAAATGGATAAAGAAGAGGTGGTATATATATATTATAATATATAATATTACTCAGCCATCAAAAAAATGAAATCTTACCATTGCAACGTGCATAGAACTAGAGAGTATTAGGCTAAGCGAAATAAATCAATCAGAGAAAGACAATTATCATATAATATCACTCATATGTGGAATTTAAGAAACAAAACAGAGGGGTATGGGGGAGGGGAGGGAAAAATAAAACAAGATGAAATCAGGGAGGGAGACAAACCATAAGAGACTTTTTTTTAAAGATTGTATTTATTTATTTGACAGAGAGAGACACAGCAAGAGAGGGAACACAAGCATTTTTCCTTTTTTTTTTTAATCTTAAAAAATCAATTTTATTTAACATAAAAGGTTATATTCGTTTCAGGTATACAGTATAATGATTCAACAATACTATACATTACTTGGTGCTCCTCATGGTAAGTGTGCTCTTAATCCCTTTTGCCTATTTCACTCATCCCCCAACTCACCTCTCCTCTGGTAAACATCAGTTCTATGTATTTAAAAGTCTGCTTTTTTGTCTCTTTTTTTCTTTGTTCAGTTGTTTCTTAAATTCCACATATAAATGAAATATATGGTATTTGTTGTTCTCTGACTTACTTCACTTAGCATTGTATCCGCTAGATCATCTATGTTGTTGCAAATGGCAAGAATTCATTTTTTTTAATTTTATTTTATTATGTTAATCACCATACATCATTAGTTTTTGATGTAGTGTTCCATGATTGTTTGCGTATAACTCATTTTTAAAAACGTTAATTCCTGGGGCGTCTGGGTGGCTCAGATGGCTAAGCGTCTGCCTTCGGCTCAGGTCATGATCCCAGGGTCCTGGGATCGAGCCCCATATCGGGCTCCCTGCTCAGCAGGAAGCCTGCTTCTCCCTCTCCCTCTGCCTCTCCCCCTGCTCATGCTCTCTCTCTCTGTATCTGTGTCTCAAATGAATAAATAAAATCTTTAAAAACAAACAAACAAAAAAAAAACGTTAATTCCAGTGTAGTTAACAGACAGTGTTATATTAGTTTCCGGTGTGCACTATAGTGATCGATTTGGGTCAGACGAAATATTCTGTGTAAGCGTCAAAATTCAGCTCCTCCCTGCCCCGCCGCCTTCCTTTTTACAAAGGTGTTTCCAGATTGCAGTTCCTGGTAGGGTGGATATTTCTCTTCTCATTGTCATTTATTTTCCATCTTTCTTGCCCTTTTCCTGCTTCCACTCAATTCTCAGTTGCTTTGTTTTTCTAATCCTTTCTCCTCCTGCCATTGCCATCGCTCCCTAGCCCACCGCTGCTGCTGTTTTGTCCTCTCCCTCCCCACAGAGCTCTCATCCTGGTTTTTTCTTTCCTTGCCTCGCACAGACTCTTTTGGAGCTGGGGCTGAGCGGAGTCTCTGGGTGCTCTTTCCTCATTGCCCTGTGCCCCCGGTTTCTGCAGTTGCGTGTTTGCCATGCTGTGGCTTGGCTGGCTTTTACCTGTGCTTGTTCGCATTTGAGACAGAGAAGAGCAGTAGGCCCTGAGACTGTGCCGTAGTTTGACAGAGCGGATGAGAGTTGAGGAAGAGAAGATACAAGAGCGTGGGGAGAGATGGGTGTTGTGCAGTGAGTACTGGGAAGCTCTGACAGCGTTGATTGCCTCTACTCCTGACTTGTTTCCA